GACCACCAGTCTTATACAGATTCACCACAGGAAGGAAGCACAGATAGAGCTCCTATACTCCAGGCAGCACAGAACCCAACAACAGCCTCCAGGTCCGACACATGTCCAGTTTTCACATCATGTCAAGGTTAACATATCACAGAAAAGACGAGTGTGGAATCAGCCACGTTCTAGTCTTCACTTTCCTCATCCAAATTGACCACGACATTTAGCGATTCTATTAATCTCTTCCGAACTGCGGTCTTGTCTAATATTTCTACTCTAGTACAGCCTTAGATCAGCCAAGTGGAAACATCTTATCAATCTATTGTAAGATTATCTCAAATAACCTTCAGTCATGTGCTGATAACTCCTCAAGATAACATTTTATAAGAAAGTTTAAAAGTCTGAGTAACTTACATTCGTTTATATTCGATATTTTTACTAGGGTGATTTGCATGGTATCGTTCTGGTGTGCATTTAAAGGGAGAGGTGCCTCTTTTGGTGAATTAAGACAAAATGTCAACAACCTATATTCCATTATAAGGAAGGCATCTCCTTATCGTTCAACTGAAAGTTGCTGATGGCTTGCGCCAACTATCGGAATAAATATCAACTATTCTCGTTGATTTTTTAATTATTCCAGAATTGGCCAAATACCCATTCTTGATTAATCAAGAAAAGCTAACCACGGACGCGTTTCGGGCTGTTGACCCTCATCAGTGTGGTGCAAGCTGTACCTCAACGACCAGGTCATTCAGGCATCCATGTTTCAGTTGCACAATAAGAAGATGCCTTTTTCATAATTTATGCACCTTTACCCCAGTACAATATCACATTTGTACTATTTTTTTTTTCACAGTGTGTCGCGGTCTCAAGCAATTCTGGCCTTAACTACCCGTTTCATGATTTTTCAGGATGCCTAAATGACCAGTTTTTTGGTCGTTGAGGTACAGCTTGTACCACGCTGATGAGGGCCAACAGCCCGAAACGCGTATGTGGTTAGCTTTTCTTGATTAATCAAGAATGAATATTTGGCCAATTCTGGAATAATTAAAAATCAACGAGAATAGTTTATATTTATCCCGATAGATGGCGCAAGCCATTAGCAACTTTCAGTTGCATGATAAGGATATGCCTTTATTATAATTTATGCACCTTATCCCAGTACAATATCATATTTGTACTATTTTGTTTCACAACCTACATACCATTGTTTCAGGCTATGGGTCTCATTAGTACACAAACAGGGGCGTCTATTTCATAACTTCTTACGAGGGGAGTTTTGAAATCGGCAGAATTTGTGGAAAAGGTAGATCTTCCTATGGAATCATCACCATACCGTTTTGTATCAAAATGATGCATTAGCGCGCGCCATCTGTTATCAAAATTTTGAACTATTTACGACGTCAATGATTCTTTAAAGATAAAAATACAATTTTATAATGTCTTTACTCCAATAATAAAGGTCACTGTAATATCTTTCAGAGTTATTGTCTGAATTCCGATATACATGCTAAAAGGTACAAATTCCATAAGTTCTGACCATGAGTGTATTTTACATAGTTATTATCTGAATCCCGATATACATATTAAAAGGTAAAACTTTTTAAAGTTTTTTCTATGAGTAAATTTTACATAGTTATTGTCTCAATCCCGATATACATGCTAAAAGGTACAACTTCCTTAAGTTTTGTCCATGAGTGTATATTTCAGAGTTATTATCTCAATCCCGATATACATGCTGAAAGGTACAACTTCCTTAAATTTTGTCTATGAGTGTATTTTACATAGCTATTGTCTCAATCCCGATATACATTCTAAAAGGTACAACTTTCTTAAGTTTTGTCTATTGGTGAATTTTACAAAGTTATTATATAAATCCCGATATACATCCTAAAAGGTACAACTTCCTTAAGTTTTATCTATAAGTGTATATTTCAGAGTTATTATCTCAATCCCGATATACATGCTAAAAGGTACAACTTCCTTAAGTGTTGTCTATAAATTTATACTTCAGAGTTATTATCTGAATCCCGATATACATGCCAAATGAGTGTATTTTACATAGCTATTCTCTGAATCCCGATATACATGGTTAAAAAAAAGGTACAACCTCCTTAAATTTCTTTTATTATCAAAAGTTTTAAAACGTTTTTATACACTTTATCAGTCCACACATATATCAAAATTGTAACGAAAATACATATACTTTGAATATTTTTTTTATATTACGTAGTTATGATCAAATATTTTTACTACAAAGCGAAAATAGGGAAAAAAGATGAACTTACCTGAAAGTAGAGATATAAATGAAACAATATGGACAGTTTTCTGCATCCTTCTAACAGAATCTAGGTCAAATAAAGTGAGATGTCATTTCCCTGAACGCTAGCAGTATAGGTGGCACCTGAAGCAATGGACAATCTACCTTTTTATCAACTCACTTTGATATGATACAAGTACTTGTCTCGAGTGTTGCTTGGGTTATCTGAATTATCTACACTGTATAGAAAACTTCAACTAATATATCTTTCAGTTTTTAACATTTTAAAATAATATTGTTATCTGTTTATTGTAAAGCATAGATATATACAGTTATTATTAAAAAGGCATATCCTTATCGTGCAACTGAAAGTTTCTGATGGCTTGCGCCATCTATCGGAATAAATATTGTAACAAAGTATTTATATTACGATGCACTAGCACGCCATCTGTTATGAAAATTAGAAACTATTATAGACGCGTATGATTCTTTTTGAAATTAAACAATTTCTACTACCCTAACTGTAATGGAAAAATGAATGGGAGGGCCTGGCTCATCAGTGGTGAACCCTCCCAGCGGTTTCGCCAGTTTAATCTACCATTGCATTTTTCCATTGCACCCTTCAGTGTAACATATGTTCAAGGGGGGATCAATAAATAAGGTGAATTATCTTATTTCATAAAAATTGAAAAAGCAAAAATAATTTAAACCACAGAATAATAAAATATAACATCGAGAGACTATTTAAGGTGGTTCTGTTCTTTTTTCCCACGCGCGGCGCGAGACTTATAAATAAACTAAAATGGAAGCTCCCTTGAAGGATTGCACCACGCTTGAACAACGTGCAGTTATTCGTTTCTTGAATGCAGAAGGTATTCAAACATCTCAAATATGCCAAAGAATGATAAATATCTATGGTGAGTCTTGTTTGTCTCAAAAAAACATTTATAAATAGGTAAACGAGTTCAAAAATGAACGAATTACATGTACCGATATTGAGCGACCTGGACGACCAAGTGTTACAGCGACGCCAAGCACGATAAATGCGGTTGAAAACTTTATTTTGGAGGATAGAAAAAATCCATTTTTACCATAGCCGACAATTTGAATATAAGCTATGGAATTGTGCACACCATTATTAATGAACAATTGCAATTTAGAAAAATATGATGCAGATGGATTTCACATTTCCTTAATTTGGACCAAAAACTTAACCGTATTCGGGTTTCAAAGGCTCTGTTAAAGCGGTATGAAGAGGAAGGTGATCATTTCCTTGACTAAATTGTAACTGGAGATTAAAGTTGGTGTTATCATTATGACCCTTCGACAAAACGTGCATCTATAGAATGGAAACGAGGCGACTCTCCAAGACCAAAAAAAAAAAAATCAGGTCTCAACGTTCGGCCGGTAAAGTTTTGTTAACAATATTTTGGGATGTTGATGGACCAATCTGTCTTGATTTTTCATGCTCAAGGCAACGTATGAACAGCGACCTTTATTGTGACATTCTTGTAAATAAGCTAAAGCCCGGTATAAGAAACAAAAGAAGAGGGAAGCTTAGTAAAAGTGTTCTCTTCCTTAATGATAATGCAAGGCCGCATACATCATGTAAAACTGTATCTACAATCATTAAATTAGGTTTTGAAGTTTTAGAACATTCTTCATATAGTCCGGACCTAGCCCCCTATGACTATTTCCTTTTTGGACTACTAAAGAAGGAGTTAAAGGGAAAGCGATTTGACTCGGATGAAGATGTCCAGAAAGTGGTGCAAGATTTTTTCACACGCTTCCTAAGAGTGCCTATAAAGAAGATATTTACAAGTTGCCAGAACGATGGAGATGATGTATAGAAAGCCAAGGCGATTATTTTGAATAAATCAAGTCCTAATTTTTAATATCGTTCTTATTTTTTAAAATAAATTATAATTCACCTTATTTATTGATCCCACCTTGTATAAACAGAATGATCCAATACAGTATTAGAGCTCTAAAGAAGCGGACTGGTAGATTAAATTGGTGAAAACCGCTGTGAGGGTTTGTAATTCTACTGTTCTAAAAGCTTATGTCCATAGTTTACTTACATACCATTTCTAAGATTCCACCCTTCAGTGTAAATATATAAACAGAATGATCCAATACAGTATTAGAGCTCTAAAGAAGCGGTTTGGTAGATTAAATTGGTGAAAACCGCTGTGAGGGTTTGTAATTCTACTGTTCTAAAAGCTTATGTCCATAGTTTACTTAAATACCATTTCTAAGATTCAATCCTTCAGGGTAACATATATAAACAGAATGATCCAATACAGTATTAGAACTCTAAGAGGCGGTGTCTGGTAGATTAAATTGGTGAAACCGCTGGGAGGGTTCACCACTGATGAACCAAGCCCTCCCAATATATTTTTCATCGCAGTAAGGGCAGTAGAAGTTTGATTTATTTGTGAAAAGAAACTTTCGCGTCTTAATGTCTTCATTTGTTATATGTAGATGGCGTGTTATTCTCTGTTTTTTTTTTTAATTATTTTTTGCTTATCCCTAGTACACATGGTACAGGCCATGATAATCATGGTTGGTAGAAGTAGGCGACTGCTTTTACTGTTAAGTGCACCACATGTCTACACATGTGAAAAGCAGTTCGACTTTGCACTTACAAATGTGCCAGAACCCCGTTTGGTTACTTGCACTTGCTGTTGAGGTTGGATTTTTGCAAGAATCGTAGCCCATTGTAGCAATTTTTTTTTGTTAATTCAGAAATAAGTGTCCAATGCGGGAATCGAACCCGGGTCCTAGCGATCAAAAACCAACGGTTTAGACCACTAGACCACCGACCCCAGTTATTGGTTTGTGTTAATATACAATTAAATTGAACGATCATAGCGGATTATTCGAATTATTTCATCTTTCCAGGATTATTTTAGGTTTAGATATTGATTGAAGACAAAGGTTAAAAGTAGATATCTGACACACATGTAGATCACGTCACCCAAGGGAAACACTGTTGTCTTGAATAATAATACATTTCATAATCTACCAGATGTGACACGTAGATATATGGATAATTAGTTTTACCTCTCGTTGCAATATATAAAAATATAAGTACGCGTTTCGGGCTGTTGGCCCTTGTAATTGTCAATCGGAATAAATATCAATTAATCGTTGATTTTAATAAAGAAAAGCTAACCATTTACGCATTATTAAGAAAAACAAAAGGCATAAAAATGTATCAGCTCCTGATGTTCTACTAAAAGTTCCTGATAGCTTGCGCCATCTATCGGAATCAATATCACCTAATCGTTGATTTTTAATTATTACATAATTGGTCAAATATCATTTATTGATTAATCATATTTATACCGATAGATGGCGTAAACCATTAGCAACCTTTAGTTACACAATCAGAAGAGATGCCTTTTTTCTTAATTTATAACCTAATCCAAATACAAATTCATTTTTGTATCAGTACTATTTTTTACAAGTTAAAATGCGAGTGCAAGTAACCAAACAGGGCTCTGACACATTTGTAAGTGCAAAATGAACTGCTTTTCATATGTGTAGACATATGGTGCACTTACAGTAAAAACAGTCACCTACTTCTACCCACCATGATTATCATGGCCTGTACCATGTGTAGACATGTGACAATGACAATTAAACAATATTTATTGTCATCTTAGACAATCGGCAAACTCCTAAGAGTTAAGTAGGAAGAGTTACAATTTTTCAAAGGCGGTGTCCTCACCGAGGGTCGTCTGGACTCAATCAGGCAATAACTTCCTGAGTTCGGACATACTCTCAAGCATAGAGGGATCGGAGTCCCGAGCGCGCCAGATGGCGGTGCTGATGAATCCACCGAGGATGTACCTATCCCGAGTGGGTAGGCGCTTGATGAAGGGCTCCCTATCCACAGGGTACAGGACTGCTCTCACGATGTCATCCATGTCGACTTGCGATTGGAACGTGTGCTCCAAGTCGATTTCACGACTCAATTCGTGAATTAAGTCTCCTGCCATCTTCCAGCGCCTGTCCATAGACAGTGGAGGCGGAGGTGTCATCATGGCCGGTGTCGTCGTCTCCCCATGGGGGACGGGTGGTATTGGCCCAGCGAGCCGAGGCGCAGGCGGTGGGGGTGCACAACGTTCCTCTTCCGTTATTGGAACGCCCTCCTCCATCTCCGTCGGGGCGGGCAGCGGGGGTGTTCTGGAAGCAGGTGACAGTTGTTTCCCATGGGAAGTGAGCGGCGCCGGCTCAGATGGTCGAGGCGCAGGCAGTGGAGGTGTAGGCACTGCGGCTGGTGTTGTCCTCAGTTCAGCCTTGACCTGTCCGAGGACTTTGTATAAGTTGCTGCCTGCTCCTGGCCTCAGATCCAATATTTGTTTGATTATGCCGGCGAGAGCGTCGCCCTGCGGAGGTGACAGGAGGGGTCCATTCCTCTGGGCCTTGGTCCTCGAGGAGAGGAGGTCCAGGACCTCCTCCCGCCCAAGACCAAGGGCGTCCGTCCAAGCAAAGGACACGCTGGGGTGGGTCTCGATGAACGCATCGAGGTCGATTCTCGTTGCGTTCCGTGTGGTCCTGCTTGATGATGTTGAGGAAGCGGAGGACTCCTCGATGGCAGTCATCTCGATGTCCTGTGCAGAAGGCCGCAACTTCGCCGATTGAGGGCTCACGGAACCTCCAGGTGCCCGCAAGGACGGAGCTGGTGTCACAGGTGGAGGGGCAGGAGGCGCGTCCTCCACGGGTAAGGCCGAAGGCGCTGGTGGTGATGGCCGGAGTGCAGCAGGTGGAAGGGGCGCAGCTTGGCTCGCGGGAGGCACGTCGGAGACCTCCATGGTTGGACTGGGGGACGCCGGAGGTGGAGGCTGGGCAGATGGCTGCTGAGGCAGCCTGGGCGCAGTCGCTGGTGGGAGAGGTGGGTGTGGCCGGTCCAGGTTCGGTGGTTCGCCCTGCGAGCAGGGGGCAGTTGGCCCTGCGATGTCCTTGGCCACGGCACCTGGAGCACCTGATCCCAGAGGACAGGTACGCCGGCCAGGCCTCACCCTTGATCAAAATGTCGAGGCGGGTGGGCAGCCTCTCGATGGTCATTCCTTCGCGGAGGATGATGAACGCCTCTCGGCGGCCGTCGTTATAGATGTACGGGCCAGCTTTCATCAGCTTGGGGGCGATAGATGTTACTCGCCCGAAAGGTGAAAGGGCGCTGATGACGGCTGCATCCCCCACGAAGAAGGGGATGTTGCCCACCGTAATTCTCTCCGCCCTCTTGCGGAACGGGAAGGCCCTGTGAAGAGTTCCCTCCACCTCGAGGCCCTCGTTGATGAGGCGCTCGGGCCAGGCCTCTGTTGGCCAGCCCCACCAGGAAGTGACCGTTCATCTTGGGCATCTGGAAGACCTCCCTGGTCCCTCCGAGCATTCTATCAAGGGCCCTCATGTAGTGGTAGGGCTCCAGTTCAGGGCTGCGCTCTATATAGACGCAGTGGTCTTCTGTTGAGGACGCCTGCCGCGCCCTGGACTCCGCGATATGCGCCCTAGTGGTCCTGACCTCCTCCGCCCGCGGTGCCCAACCCGTGGACGATCGCGGCCGGCGAGTGGCCCCTGCGCCTCTGGTGCCAGAGGAAGGTGCAGCCGCTGCAGGAGAACCCGGCGAGTCGCGGCGCCTTTTCTTACTCTTGATGACGGTGAAATCGTCGTCCTCTCCAGGGCCTTGGTCCTCGATGGAGTCCGCCCAACTTCCCAGGACACGGGCAGCGCCATTAGATGACGTAGCTGCTGCCGAGCCGGTCGTGACGTCACCGCGCGTAGCTGCCAGATTTGCATTTCTGACGCCTGTCGGTGGATTTGCATGAACTCGATTTTCTGAGTTTTCTTTTGAGATTATTTTCTCATTTCCGTTTTCGCTTGAAATCCTCCCACCAGTAGGAGATGGGATGCTGGGCCTTCCAGGCTCTTGTCCAGCAGATCCCGAGCTCCCTGGCGATGCCGAACTCAGCATGCCTAAAAGCATTTCACCGCCTGCCAGAGGCGAAAAACACGGAGCTCGGCGACGCGTGGCCGCACGGCCGAGTGTAGACATGTGGTGTACTTACAGTAAAAGCAGTCGCTAACTACCCACCATGATTATCATGGCCTGTACCATGTGTAGACATGTGGTGTACTTACATTAAAAGCAGTCGCTAACTACCCACCATGATTATCATGGCCTGTACCATGTGTAGACATGTGGTGTACTTACAGTAAAAGCAGTCTCTAACTACCCACCATGATTATCATGGCCTGTGCCATGTGTACTAGGTATAAGAAACAAAACAAGTTGAAAACTTGTCCTTATATCTACTGATATGCGCACGCAGGAATGAAACGTGATTTATGCCGATAGCAATGCCATCTGTGGGTCAGGTAAAAAATCTTTCACCTTACTCTCGTAATAACTTTCAACAGGCGTGAGCAACAAATGACACAACAGAATGCAATAGGTGTTACTGGCAGAGAATTCCATATTTGATGGATATACACACCAAATAACATTGTGACTGCTGTGATAGAGATATACGGAGACATCTGAGGCTCTTCATTGGACACAACAACAACAGAAAATTGACCCAGAATAGCAGCTTTACACACCCAAGAACATTACGACTGCTGTGATAGAGATATACGGAGACATCTGAGGCTCTTCATTGGACACGACAACAACAGAAAATGACCCAGAACAGCAGCTTTACACACTCAAGAACATTACGACTGCTGTGATAGAGATGTATGGAGACATCTGAGGCTCTTCATTGGACACAACAACAACAGAAAATTGACCCAGAAAAGCAGCTTTACACACCCGCAAAAATAATAGATGGTGTCAGGTTTTGACGTTTATTTTGACGGGAGAGGCGTCCTATGCTTCTATGGATCAATTTCCTCCAGGCAAATTTTCCATCTATAGAAGACTATATATTAAAATCTATAAATCCCAAATATATCCCAAAATGGTAGGAAGTTTGAAGGTAGATTCTAACAAAAGGCTTAACATTGAATACACCACTTGTAGATACATATGTGGAAACACCAAGTAGAAGTATCGTTTGGTTAGAATTCACAATAGAAGCTGTTATTTTTTTGTACAAATGTAAAAATTGCAGAAGATACATTTGAACTTAAAAACCTATTAAAATAGAATACAATAAAATATCAAATTACGAAACTATTTTAGAGGCGTAATATTCTTTTTAAAATAAAAACAATTTATACTGCCCTTACTGCAATGGAAAAATTAAAGGGAGGGGCCTGGCTCATCAGTGGTGAACCCTCCCAGCGGTTTCGCCAGTTTAATATACCATACCGCTGTTATATTGCATTTTTGGAACTTCCTTTTATAGTGATACTGTTGCTTGACTCTTCGAATGGGTATTTTAGATGAACTATGGACATAAGCTTTTAGGACGAATAATAACATATAATGATAAATATATAATATGCTTCGAGAAATCGCTCTTCCGCAAATATCAAATTTGGGGAATTAGGCGCGCTAGTGCATCGTAATATAATACAATAAAATATAATGCGGATTGTGACAGTAAAACATTTGAAAATTTTCCCGCATGTGTTTCTTTTCAAGGAAAAATAGAAATTTATTTTAAGGAGAAATAACGTCTATTTCTAACCTTAGGGATGAATTATGAAAGGATTAATTGTGAAGAGTAATGATAAACGGAAAAATAAAAGTGTCCAGGGATGGGAATCGAACCCACAGTGCGGTAAGCGGAACACTGTAAATAGATATGTAAATAAACGATGTATGTAAATAACTCTTATTTTCTAAACAATTATACACCTGAGTGAATCCT